TCTCTCTCCATGTACTACACAAAGCTTCGTGTGATTTCGGAAGTGTGTGGGCGGTTGTTACTTCCCGGCTGCCCACACCGTGGAAGTTGATTGATTCTTCGGGAACCTGAAACAGAAAGAGTGTTGCGTGACCACAGAGCCCAGCGGAAAACTGCTTGAGGCCGGTCACACGCGGCCTGTTTTTGTTTGTTCTTTTTTGTTTGGTGTGTCTCAGTAGCATATTTATCACTTCTGCCCTGTGACACGGCAGCAGAAAGCGCAGTCGTTGTTAATCCGGGCCCCGATTGATCTGGCATGATATTTTGTGAATTTGTTTAAATCATAGTATTGGATTGGATAGCTGCTTTTTGTCTAACCGATATCCAAACAAACTTTCTGGCATGGTAGGACCTCAAGCGACATAAGTCTCAGCCAGTATAGCTTGTTGGGTCATTGCAGTGTTCAAGCCCGGCCACCACGTCAAGGTAGCAGCTTTCGGTCGGGTGTGGCGACCTGAACTGCCGCACATATGCGCAAAGTTCGATGTCGAAAACAGACAGGCTACACAAAACAAGACAAGAGAGTCAACAGAGATTCAAAAGAGAGAGAGAGAGATAATAAACACAAGTGGGGTTTAGGGAAAAAAATACTCATAATATGGTAGAACAGTAGAGTATTATTGGCTATGACAAATCATCACAAAGAGTGAATGTGTCTGCGCCAATCATCATCACTGAGAACGATGATTATGAGGCATATCATCACCAACTGTCTGAAGCCGCTATTGGTTCTTACCATTCCTAGGACCCTGACCAGCCGTCAAGCAGTCTACATCTCCCTGTGTGACTGGCTGGCTGCCTAGCTTGCTTAAACTAACTGTTACGGATTTCACTGACCGATGAAGCCATTTTAGTTTCGGTTTGACCACGACCAACTAGCTCTCTTTCAACTTGATCGATCTTATGTAAGCTAACACTGTCTGTTGTCTAGGAAGGTGATATTAGCATTAGCTGACATAGCGTTAGGTTGTTAAAGGGTTAAAGATCAATCCATAAGTTTTTAACTGATGATGTGATCCACAAAGGGAGGTGTAGATTTCTTGGTTGGAGTTCTTGAGACTCAAGGAACCAAAGGGGATTCTGAGACTATTTATGATATATGGCTGAAAACAGTTGTAAAAAGGTCTGATGAATTCATTCTTTGTCATTTATTATGTCCAAGAATCGTTCATGTTTTCCATGTCACTATTCTTTCTGTCTCACATTTCTGTCTGTCTGTCTGGATTCAACATAGAACTTGGTACCGAAGTGCAGCAGTTCGAGTTGCCACGTTCCATTTCTGCTTATTATCGTTTCTTTTGAATCTCTATTTTCCCTCTTCTGTGTACCTTTTTTGTGCTAAACAGGGAGTATGTCAAATTGAATTGGTGAATTCCTGTGCAAAGTTCTACGTCGAATCGTAGTTAGTTTGTAACCCTAACCGTAAAGTTACTGAGTGGTAACTGCTCGTTACAGATTATTCATGGGCCTTAATGGGAGACTTTTGATTTAAAAGTGATTTTGTTGATTTCATTCCAAAAGCAAATTCACCCTCAGTAATATTAATAATGAATCTGTCCTAAGGTCAGTATTTTTCTGTCGTTTCTTGTCAAGGAAGACAGCATTTTAAGAGGATGCTGACTATGTTTAGAAAGATTCTTTCAAACAATAGCTACTGCCTTGACGTGATAGTCGTGCTTACATATCAGCATGCCTCAATGAGCTATACTGGCTGGAACAAATGTTCCTGTAGGTATTACTATGCCAGAAGGTTCATATAAGTAGCAACTGGGCTTAAAAATAAGAAGACACACACCTTGTGACTGAGGACTCAGTGTTTTCTGATATCAGCTTGCTTAGTAAAAGCGTCCTAGGAATAGAGCCAAAAGCAGCATTATAGTCTTAAACGGAGGCTCGAACATACTTTACGCTTTTATCAAAACTTAAATCAATATTATGGTTGAGTACAACGACAACATCTAATGTGCTCCTACTGCATTTTTAAGCGATCTGCTTTGAGTCATTCGAAGATTTCAAAGTATGGGTTAAGCAAAAAGATTATTTTTAAATTGAATTCTTTGTTTTCACATTAATTCATGATTTCCACGCACTTCCATGCGAAATTTCTCTACAGTTTCCTTTGAAAACCAAAATCATCCACATTCATTGCAATGTGGGATCTTGATGTGGTTGTGCACAAGGAAAGTCGCCCTGTCATATATAAAGGATATATCAGAAATCACTGCAAGTCTCGTCAAACCTTTAGGAATTGACGTCGCACACAAAACAACAAAATCACTTCACTCAGTTCTATGTCAATCAAAAGACTCAACTGCGAAAGAAGATAAAATCTACATCATCTACAAAATAAATTGTAACAACTGCGGAAAACACTACATTGCCCAAAGTGGACGTCCCCTTCGTCTTCGCGTCCATGAACATAAGCTAGCCGTCAAAAGACATGACATCCACTCCTTCACATCACTACATAGAGACAACCACGAGCATCAATTCGATTGGGACAATGTTCAAATATTAGACAGAGGAAACAACAAGAATGCTAGCGAATTTTTAGAAGCTTGGCATTCCAGTGAATCATCAATCAATAGACACATCGACATAGACAAAATTTATCAACCGATAAGAAAGAAACGTCACACACAAAGGGTCAAAGTTCAAGTCAAAGAAACAATGAGTGACAATACAAGCAACCTAGAAGGTGTGAAAACAAACAAAAACAACCAATCACGTCCAAGGTCGCCGTGAGAGATGATCAATAAACTCGTGGAGAAATCTAAAAGCTCACTTCAAATTGAAGTATGCGCTGAAGATGTCACCTAGTAGGGCGATGAAAGCTTCGCAAATTAACTATCCAGCTCAGAGAACACAACCACATCAAAATCATCCACCTGAGCTACAGATCTTCTCCATCATATCTAATATCTGATCTCCTTGTTACTATAACTGACAGTACAGAAAGCAAGAATAAACGCATGAACACTACATTGTTCTACTGACTGAGGTCAGTAGTTGAATACCAGAATTTGGATAGTTTTGAACTGATTCGGCTCCCTGAATGAGCCGACTCGAACTGGCTACACCGCTGAGCTTGGCGCCAAACATGCGAAATAACCATTCGATGCTTAGATGTGGCTATCAAGTATCAATTCGCTTATCCCCATCAAGAAGGAAATGTTTCTGTTAAATTCTTTTTCAGCCAGGATAGAGATTTTGAGAAAGAAACAAAAGTTTTCTTCGTATTTTGTTGCAAAGTCCTATAGACACAAGCTTCATCAGATGGAATTTTCGTATATGATTTTACTTGTTCTGATTTTAGCAATTAAATGTTCGAACTAACTAAAGTTTTGAATCCCGGAGCTTCCTGTTACAAGACGAGCGAGCTTGTAGACCATTCAGTTACTGGAACCCGACTTCATGGCTAACCTATGAATTCTAACTTCTACCAATTAATGATTTTAGCGCGACCACCAATCACTGTCATCGGCGAGCATTTCGCCTCACTCACGACCCGGTGTTGGACCTCCTTGGTCACAACTTCTCACTTCAACTCAAGGAAACTTCTTCTTGTATAGAACCAGTCATGTACCATTGAGTTGGGTCTCATTGACTGAATGCTGGTCTACGAGCTTCCCTTGTGACTGCAACGTCTTGGGTGCGTACTGCCAGTGAGTTCTGAACTAGGATCAAAATTCTGATGAGTACATCCTGGTTTTTAATGATTGTCTAACTGATATCAATCTGTGGTCAAACATGAAAAAATTTAAAAAAATATTATAGAATTCAAAGTCCCTGCAGTACCGCCGTATAAGGAAGGAAAGTCAGAAGCTCTATGTAGGATTCTCAATGAGGCTGGAGTTAGTCGGGGTGGCATTTAAACTAACCAACCGAACTAACTGTCTGAGAGAAAAACTTTGTTGACTTAAGGACCCAATAGATCCAATTAAGAAAATTTTAAAAAATTAGGGTGCGACAGGGTGAGAGTAGTATAAAGTAGTATGGTTAGGTGGAATGAGAGAGAGAGAGAGACGTTGGTCACTGAATCCTTGTTATTGTCAGCTCAACACAAAGCACGTGCAATTGGAGTGACACAGTGCCTATACCGAAGATATGGAAAGTGGCAACAAACAATAAGGAGAAGAGGAAGAGAGAGAGAATATGCGCATAAGACAAACTGAGAAACCGTGTGACTAAAATTGATATGATTATGAGCGGCAATAATTTATAGTCGAAACCTTGTCATCCAGTTACTAATACTGCGTCACTGGGCTTTCTCATTCGGCTTTCAACTTCTGGTTATTATTATTAATCACTCCCTGAGTTCCCCGTGAAACGCAGGTCCTTAGCGGAACGCCACCATTCCAATCTTTTCTCTGCCTTACTGACACCTGGCTCGTGGCTGTCTACAAAGTATCACTTCCTCTTCAAATGATTTATTGTTATGTCGCTCTCAAACGCCCAACTACTGTTTGGGCACCACTTAAGTGTCTGTGTGGCTTGTAATACCACTTGAACGCGTCTCCTCAGAGAATGTCAATTTCCTTCTACCTATTTGTTGAAGGGGGGATAGGTCATTGTCTGCTTCTCTATTAGAGTTCCTTGTTACTCGCCTTTTCTAGCCATTTAATCTACCGTATCCAGCCAGCATTGGCAAGTGTAGATTAACGTTAAAATCTGTCGGTTGGAAATACTTTTTGTGCTACTAGGTGAAAATCTGATCCTGTCCACCAGTGTCTACAGGAAACCAAGTGAGGGTATTATTAGTTTGCACACAATAAATATAACTCATGATGTAGAGGGTATAAGAAATCCGTATCGAGTGTTATGTGTGTGTGTGTGTTATGCAGGTCACACTTAGTCTTATCATCATAGTAAGTAAGTATTTCTCATCTTATGGCTCAACTTTACCTCCTTTATCCATCATTTTATTTTCTCTGCCTTTTTTCTTCTTCTTGTTCTTAATAGCATGTCGTGAAACTGACAGTGTTGTTCCTGGTAGTAGAGACAATTTAGGCGCATCGTCATCATCAATACCACCACCTCATGAAGATGAATTAATGAAACAATCTGAATCATCTGGATTAGCTGCTATGCTACAAGAAGCTATTGCTGCACGTATGCGAAATAAAACGACACGTTGTCTATCTACAGAAATGAAATTACCACCATCTTCTAACACTGGTACCAATCAAGTAAGTATGAATCACACTTTTCGATTAGGGGTTGACTGTTGTGACTGAAAAAGTACTACATTTGCGTGCGTTTTACTGATACTTCCATGCATGACTGTGTATGATTGATCTATCAACTACCTTTCTCACAATGAGAAAGATCCAGAAGTTTGAGTGAGAAGGTAAAGATCTGATATTAGATAGTTGGAGGCAATCGGCAGGAAGCCTTGGACCTAGGTTTCGTGCTAGTTGGCACTCATCAGCAAGGCGTATCTGCAACCTTGAAGGAAGCAACTCATGTCCCTTCTGAGATTCGAACCCGCGTCACCCAGTGCTGCAGTCAGAGACGTTACCACTGAGCCTCCAACTATCAAATATCATCAAATCAATGTGCACAGTGATGGTGAGCTACCTAGAATGGTGGTCACATTGCAAATACCTGACTGATAGAATTCAGTCTGCACCAAAGGAAGGACTGGACACATCACACTAGTTACTAGTGTCCAATCAAGGTAAAGATCTATTGCTCTGAGGGGAAATCATAATTAATTTTGTACTTACTTCACAAGACTTGATAAGTTACAAGTTTGAGATATGAAGACCATGTTCTTACTGGATAGTGTGTGCTAATACGAATCTATTGTTATTATATATTCTTATTATTCTTCACTTGGGTTCTGAGTGAAAAATAGAGCCTCATCAGCACATCCCCACTTTCTTCCAATCACTAGATACCATTCCAGTCCAGTGATGTGACTTTCAAACTGGATTTGGGTGGTCGAGTGTCTGCTTTTGCAATCACGTGTGGGGAACACCAACGTAACTGTGTGGTTGCCTAAACATCAGCAACTGAAGCACAGTTTGTCATCTAGACCTAGTGTTTGGAGGTCTATTAGCTTAACTGATGAACCATAGCTCCTGTTACTTATTTACTTGCTTACTTATACTTTAAACCATAATGAAAACTTCAATCATCCCGAAAATTGTTCACTTTAATGATGATTTTTCTGTTTTTTTTTACGACATAACATTGACGTGCTCTTTTTTGTCTAATGAACTGATTGTTTACGTGGTGAAATAGTTTCGTTTTCAGTGCTAATTGAGAACTAAGAGACTGGGTCAGTATGTATACTAAATGGGTGACATTTCTCACTCATCAGAGCTCTAAACAACCTGAATTCCAATATGAGTAGAGTGTTTATCATACGTCTGGTTACAGTATTGAATGACACAGTCATCTGTAAGCATGAAACCTTTTTTTCAAGTAATACTTCATTTCGAAATGTTGGTTTGCGGGGATTTGATTAACTTCGTATTCGATCATGAACTGATGTCGGTTGGAAAACCATTGAAAACCAGGAAAAACTGGATTTTGTTTTGTCTTTACTGGGTCTGAATCCAATCCATCAAGAGTCTCAAACTAGCACCGGCCGACACCTGCTACCTTGTCGGGTGGCCTGTCCGCGATGACCCAACAACGTACAAGCAACTTTTGTTCTTGCAAGCCCTATCATGCCAGAAAGGTTGTTTGGATAGCGGTTACATTGAAAGCAGTTACTATGAGGTACATCGGCTCAAGAATCCAATTGGATCTAATAGCGTATGAACCTGTATTGGTCACCGGCAACCATGGGAACGTAGATCGTGATGCTGCCTTGAGGATTAGACACATGTCAAAGGCTCGGTGTTGGTCTCTTCAGGCAACCACTTGCTTCGGTCTTGGCGCCCGGGTAGTATCTCAGTCCTCACACAATCAACGAAATGAAACGGCGTACTGTCACTGAAAGTAATTACACGCTCTCAACAATCCTCTCGAACATTAATGATGTTTCAAGTGACGCATCTCCTTCCAATCTTACCTTTATTTTTATACGCTGACCCCTGTGTTTAACTTTTGCTATCTTTGACTTCTTGACTTCCGTAAGCTTTTCGCTTTTGTTTGAATTCCCAGTCTGTGCTGTTTCGAGGTGTTAGTGAGTAGCCTTAAAAATGGTTGTCCCCAATGCCACTTCTAACACAGATATCCTGAAACCGGTCACCACATTCAAGCTTGCCACCTACAATGTTCAGACACTGATGCAAATCGGACAATAGGGAGGTTTTTTAAGAATATTGGAGAAGCCTCGCTATCGATGTTTGCTGGATTTTGGAGATCCGCATCAAAAATCCCAGTGAAGTGCTTCGATCATCCTCCCCATCCCAAAGCTAAAGGAGTTTGTACCACCTGCGCTTATCTGGGGACCCTGCGACGTTGACATCCGCCTTAGCCGATGTCGCACTAAGTGCCAGAGCCAAAGCTGCATTACTCGACTGGATTTCCATTACCAATTGTTTATGTGCTGTGAGACTGGAAGATTATACGGAAGTAAGGAGCGGTAGGCCAGATAGGCGGTGCCTATTTGTTGTTTCTGCCTGTGGACCGACAGATTGAAGCCTGGATGATATTTCTAGCCAGCACCAACTTCGTGCACAGCCATCACCTTAGCGCTACCTGGTGTCCTCCTTTTGCTAATCGAGCCTGCGCTCAGAATGATCAACACTGCTGTCAGTTTCTGGTGGCGGGGATGCATACAAGACTTCCGTTCCTTCTGGAGTACATGCCTGGACTCCGGTCATGCTTTATTCTCTGACAGGTTCGTCTTGTGATTTAGTAGGGTTCATAAATGGTGTCATCTAAATATTGATGTTAAGTTAAGGCATTCCTGACTGCTAATACACTGATAGTGATAGTAGTCCGTATAAAGAGTAGCACTTTCAGTTTGTTGAATTGACGCCAGTACCATTTGCTGTCATGTGAAACTTGGAGCTTCTTTCTTAACAGTTAGATTATTTATAGCTCTTAGTTCTAATTTCTATAATGATAGTAATTATTATTATTCCCCTGTGTTCCTAGTGGAACTTAGGACTTCAGCAGCATATCTTCATTTTATCTTGTCCTCTGCAGCCCTCTTTAACTGGCTCCATAATTTCCCATCAGCTTTAACATCCTCCTTACACGATCGCTTCTGTGTCATTCTTAGACCTACGCCCATCTCGTCGTTTACCGTCTGCATTCCACTCAAGCTATGGCTTGCATTGAGTGTGATGTCATTCGACGGTCTTCTCAGTGTGTTTGCCCAATCAGTCTCTATTTTCTTCTACGTACTTGTTAGGCAATAGGCTCTTGGTTGGTTCATTTCCAGAGTTTCTGACTATTTCATCTGCATCAATATGGAGCCAGCGAAGTATGCAGCTGTTGATAAAAGTCTGCCAGTAGCCTGGCGAAAATGCATCATCAGGTATCTGACACATTTAGAAGGATTGACTGATTTAACGTTGGTGTTGAAAATCAGAGTTTTGCTCCTTATGTTGAGTAAAGAAGTTTCTAATCGGATTTCAGAGTCTGTCTTACCTTTCCGACTTATTTCATCTATATTCACATTTATACTCTTTCCCTTTTAGACGTCAACAACAAAACCGCCCGCTCCACCACCACCACCACCCTTACCCCCACCATTATTATCGTCTGTTGCACAAACCAATGTCACTAATAGTAGTACTGATCATGTGCATACAGTAAAACGTACAGATTCAATGCAACAATTGAGAAAAGATTCCATCGATCAGAAATCATCAATGATTGCTGAAATCCAACGTCGTATAGAAGCAAGACGACGTCAAATTGAAGCAGCTGAAGAAGAAGAATCGATTGCTAAAGAAAGTCAAAGCGTGGAAGTAAGTTATTGCGTTGTTGTTGTTGATGATGATGTTGTTGTTTTTCCTCTCGTTTTCTTATCTCACTTGACGAATAATGTGAGGAAGGTTTTATGGTTGAGAAGAGAGCGAGCGAGATTCAGTGTTTTATGGTGAGGACAAATATACAGAGATGATTAGGATAATAATAAAGTTAAATTAACTTGTCCGTTTCATCATACACCATATGAATAATGTCACATATTCTCTTCTGAAGGAATGTAACGTTTTGCCTCTATTTTCTGTAGCTTGTCTCGTTTTCCAAGGAACATTTCAGCCCTGTATTTCCTGTTTCGTTACCGATCATTAAGTTTTTTAATAATGATAAGAATTTGCTTTATTCCAAAGTAGTATTTATAACAGTGTGGAATTGTCACCATCTCGTAGATTACAAATAAAAAAAGGTGGATAAAAGGGCCAATTATTTTGCCAATGACATAGTAAGTCGTAAGTTTCACACTTAATTTTATCTCTATCACATAGAATGCGGGCGGGTCAAATAGGGTATCGCTAAGTTTCTGTACTTGGTTGTACACGCGAGCATATGATCCTTTATAATGACTTGTCTTATGTCCTGTCTTATGTAATGAGATGCAATGGGTAGGGTGGGGTGGGGAGAGTTGAGAATAGAAACGTTAAAAGTCAAACCATATGGATTTAGACCACTTCCCACATGAGTTAAGGTGTCTGTCAACTACAGGCGCAAGGAGTTAACTAAGTGGCACACAACTTACCCTACTTACAACCTTTAATACTCTTCACAATACGACCTAGTCCATTTTAAGTAGCCTAGGAAAGACTAAGGTGGGGGAGCACTAGAGAATAATAGGTAAGATGCAGAAGTTAACAAATTGTAAAAGTATAGAGATTTAGTAGTGTCTGTCTGATTGTCTTTATGGCTGTGAGTGAGACATGGCCATTGAAAAGTGGAAGATATAAAAAGGCTATCTAGCTGTCTTTGATCATAGGTGTGTCTGTATCCTATCTCCTATGTTAGATGGTAGGCGTGATAGGGTGAGTCATATTGAGGCTAGGCATCGATCGAGTGCTAAGTAAGGAGGAATGGAAAATCAATCGACGAAGCTATGAAGCAGCTGCATAGATTGAGATGGTTTGAACATACGTTATGCATTACCAGCCTAACCATCGCCTTCCTTGACGGTCAATGGTAGGGGACGTAGGATCGATAGGGTTAGAAAAGAGCTAGGTATTAGTGGTCAAACCAAAACCAACATGTCTTCATCAGTCAATCAAATCCACAACAGTTAGTTTAAGCCAGACAGCTAGGTAGGTGTAGACTGCTTGGCGGCTGGTTGGGGTCGTCGGGATGCTGGGAATCGATGAGGTTTGGAGATAATTAGTGATATGTCTAACTCACAATCGTCTTTCTCAGTAATGGCTGATACAGACACATTGACTCTTTGCGATGATTTGTCGCATCCAATAAAACTCTATTGTTCTTCCAATATTACTACTATCCTTTTTCCCCAACTCCCACTTCTGTTAATCATCTCTCTTCCTTTTGAATCTTTGTTTACTGTCTTCTCTTGCTTTGTGTGGTACGTGGAGGAGAGTGGCAAGTTGAACTGGCATACATCTGTGCAAAATTGTATGTTGAAAATAGTCAATCAGTCAGTCACTAATTCTGCCGATTTTTGCTAGTTCGACGACAATCCTCATCACTGACTTCTTATGACCCCCAGAGTAGACACATCTTAAAAGACGATAGGTTGATAGACTGGTCAATGCTGGTGAGAACAATACAATTTTATTATATATGCAAACACGTCAGAAAGTTAAACCGGACAGTTAACCATTTATGTCGGTTGCCTAGAGGTCGGGCTTCTAGGTTGTCCAATCGCATTGTAATAGACATCCTTTTTCGACTTTGTGATTGAAATTTGTAAGTATGTATGTCGAGTGGCAATCACAACATAAAAACTGTCTTGTTTGATTACAACTGTCTATTGTTGTTGTTGTTGCAATCATGTCAAATAGAGAGCGAGATACCTCACTGCACTGCACTGCTACTGCTGCATACCTTCGTATTAATTAACTGATACAAGGTAACTACAAGTTAACTTTTTAAACTTGTCATATGCGCTGTCGCCGGCACAAATGACAGACACAATACAGACAAGAAACATTTTGTGAAAGTTTTAACGTTGGAAATTAAAGCATTCAAATTCGTGCTGTTTTTTAATTTTTGTCGTTTAAAGAATTCGATGTCTCATAGATAGGTCGATTTCATTTCTATGCGTGCTTTTGTGTTTGGATGATTTTGAAGATGTGAATCAACATTTGTTACTTGGGTAATGTATTTTTCAATAACTAAAATTATGATACCTTTATTCTGAAAAGTGTTCATATAATGTAGAGAATTTTCAACGGAAATTATATCGCATTACAGTTTCTCTTTGTCCAGGGTTCTCAAGTGAAATAGTATTATATTTTATTATTGTTCTCTTGGGTTCGCAGAATAACATTGTACTTCAACAGAACATCCTATTTTCAGTGGTACTCTTCAGCTGACCTCCACGTTCCCCATAGCCTCTCATCTATTACTCGCACGATCTCCTCATCGTTTCCTATTCGGGTTCTACACAACAACCAGCCTAATTTCAGATGTCACTCAATGATCTCCTCAGCGTACACCCAATCCATCTCCATTTCGCTCGGGTTATTTGTGGAGGAATAATTTCTTGACTGACTCGTTCTCAGAGGTTCTCCTTTCTAATCCTTTCTGATCCACCATTCAATCTTTAATGTGGAGCCAGCGAAAGTAGATGCTGGTAAAAGTCCTAACTGGCTTGTTGGAAATGCTCCTCCTGACGTGTGTGTCAAGTCTCTGACACATAGAAAAGAATTGACTGGCTTAACATTTGTGTTGAAAATACGAACTTTATTGTTCATGCTGAGTAATGCGAAAAATTTCCAAACTCTTTCCAGAGTGACGAAGGTGTACCCCGCCTTTCCTATTCTGCCTTCGACATCTTCATCCACTCTGTCACCTGTAGTTCAAAACGATGATGCCTATAGTCAGATAAGTGGAGGAAGTGATCTCTTTCAAATTTCTACAACTGATAGTGATTGGTGCTGGTTATTGTTGTTGGCGCACAGGTAACCTCATCACCTCTGTCTCCCCTACGTTCACTTGAAGTCCTGTCTTCACTGACTGCCTCTCTTACCAGTTTGTTGATTTCTGTCTGTAAGTCTTCGAGTTTGTATGAAATTAGACATAAATCATACATTAGTGAAATCCAGATTTCCTAGTGTCTTCTTATCGGTCCAACATTTCTTTTTCCTTCACGTTCCCCAGTGGAACATAGGGTTTCAAGCTAAGTGGCTTGAAGTTTCGTTAGCAGTGTTGATTTTACAGGATGGGGTTGCTAGCCTCATGCCCGACCTTCCTCTTCACCAGCATTATTTCTGGCTTAGCGAGGTGAAGGAGTGCGTCGGCCGGGGATCGAACCCCGAACCATGTGCATTGTTGGCAAGCGTCCTAACCGCTATGCCACCGATGCAACATACGTCTGTATTCTCGCTCCCCACTCACAGTTTTCCGGAGTAATCCAGTCCATGACAATACAGAACATCATAGGTGATAGTAGGCGGCCAGCCTTGTCTTACTCCTGTATTCACTTGCAAAAGCCTCACTGAGATTTCCGTTGTGGATCACTAGACACGTGTATTGTCATTTAACCAGCTGTTGAATTAGTTTCAAGCTTAACAAGTTTGACTCCTGCTGGAATCGTTATCGGTGAACACTGCTAAGGATTATCAAAATGGATTGGTACTACTATCCAGTGCTCCCTGGTCTTCAAGCTTCTCTCTAACTGATGTTTTGTGACCGACTCTCACAATTAAAATTAATTTAAATGCTATGATATGAGTAAAAATTAAGTCATGTGACTGATAAAATGGCAGTATCAGTAACCAATGAAATGGATATTTACGGTGACAGTCAAATATCAATAAAGAAGGGTTTCAAGAAAAAACAAATATTTTATGCTTGGAGAATTGATTCCTCAAGCTCATATAACTTCATATTGAAGTTAGCTCTAAATAGGTTGTTCAGAGGGACATTGAAACCTTCTCTGTTGAACCATCCAGCTTAAAGAATACAATAACACCAATAACGTCAACTTGAGTTATAAATCTTCTTTACTGTTTCAGAAGTTAATTAGCCACATAACGGCTGCGGGTGATTATTCATTACGTGAAGGTGTCATTCATTGTTGACTTCTATCTAGGTTAAGCTATTTATGGAGGGTGGAGTAGGCGGTGGGAAACTTAGTTCCTTAAACGTTATTGCTCTTCAGTTAGAGAAGTTTATCGATCTTGGGCAACAGTAAAAAGAAATACCACAGTCAGATAACCACGGACTAATGAATGTAGCATTTTAGCATAAAACGTATATTAACGGGATATATATATACATATATATATATATATATATATAAATATAAATGAATTATACAGTGTTTGGGCCTCTAATTTGCCGCACAAGCTGGTCCCATTTTTTGATAGGAATGGTGATAGACATATATCATTCTAGTCCTGCTTTTTCTGTATGCTCAAAATCTTTCAGTAGACTTTGTATGAGTACCAATTGTAAGATTCGCAAATCCTGGTGAATAATTGACTTTATGATAAGTGTTTTTCATCCTATTTATTGCCACATTACACCTAGAAGATTGTGACTGGACAGTTCAAGGTCATTTGGCTGTGATATCTGTTCCTCGTGTTTGCCCTTTCGTGCTAAATTTGTGTGCGTGTGTATCAGTGTAAGTTTTTAATTTCAGGTGGCAAAGCCTTAAGATTTACTTAGATTTGTTTCAACTCTTGACGATGGATTGATGTCAGTTAGGGGGACATTGGAAACCACCAGGGAGTACTTGACAGCTGTTTCCTCCTAATAATTGGGACTCCTTGTCACTACGCACCTACCGACCGGGGTTCGAACCCAGGACTTTCCGTTTGCAAGGCGAGCTGATAGACCATTCAGCCATCGGGGCCCCCGGCTCAATGACCACCATCCCACGAATTCTAACTTGTACCAATGCGTGATTTTAGCGCAACCGACCACCAGCCAACGTCATCAGTGCCGAGTAATTGTGCTCACACCCGACTTAGGGATGAACCCCACTGGTTACGACTGACTTCTCAACTAGTAATCCAGGCAACTAATTTTGTCCTGTCGATTACCGTATTTGTTGTCTTTCCTCCCATATACTAATCGTACACAGAATGTTAGTTATTGTTAACTCAATGCTTAGCTTATTAAGCCACCTCCATTTGTCGCCTTTACCTTCTATATCATGTATATCCCATAGCAAAATTAAAGGATGTGTTAATCAATAATTTCTCTATAATAATTTCTACTATAGAAAAGAATGAAGGAAAGAGAGAGAGAGAGAGCAGTTTAATATCTCTCCTATTTTGGATCACTGCCAAATTGGACATAGGAAGTATTAAATTATTTGTCTGGTGTATATGCATGTGAGTGTGTATGTGTGTGTGTGCGTACCTGCTTCAATCACATGATTCATTTCGCATACATATATACAGATAATCTGAAAATCGTTTTCAGACAGACAGTTTGAATGAATTCACACATACACACACACGCACACACTTCGCCCGTATAGTTATCACTTAATATATATCACGTTAGTGTAAACTTCGTGAATTAAAACAACAGTGTTCTATCACGCGAGGAATAATATTGCTTAACGAATCAGACTAAGTGCTTTCTTCTGTAGTGATCACGTGAGCCAATTTCAAGCCTTATTTATAGAGTTGTCTGGTTCAATAAGTAGTTACGATGACGATATATGTATCTGTGGTCCGTATTCTTATTTATCTATCTCTCTGTACACATGACTAGTTTCGCCTACAATATCAGACATTAAAATGGCCATCTAAATAATTTTTATAACTTCAGCACGATGAATCTCCTTGCGCCAAAAGAAAAAGTCTGTTTGGGGACATGGAATGTCCGCACCATGTACGAGATGGGCAAAGCTGCCCAGATTGCAAACGGTGAACATAGAGAAAACAGAGGTGATGAAGATCCTTGGGCAACACTACCAACAGCAACAACAACAACAGACAACAATCAGCATAAATGGAAGGAACCTGAAAGAAACAACCTCTTTTACCTATCTTGGAAGCATCGTTTCAACTACAGACAGACGGAACTGACGAGGATATCAAAGCAAGAATCAGAAAAGCAAGACAAGCTTTCACTACTCTCAAGTCTGTGTGGAGGTCAACAGCACTCAGCATGAAAATGGCAATAAGATCCGGATTTTCAACTCCAATGTGAAATCAGTCAGTGCTACTATACGGATCAGAGACTTGCACTGGGCGTCATGAAGAGCATCTCAAACAAACTACAGACCTTCATTAACAGTTGTCTTCGCTCAATACCACTCAAGATCAGATGGCTGGCCAGAAAAGATCAGCAACAGGGATCTCTGGCAATGAGCGAACCAACTCAGCAGGAACCAATTGTGAAACAAATATGCAGGAAGAAATGGCGGCGGACTCGCCATACTGTGAGGAAACCATCAAATGACATCACTACACAAGCCCTCGAGTGGAACCTGAAAGGGAAGCGGCGAGTTGGTCGTCAATGCAAGGGTGACTTGGAGGAGGTCATGTGAAGAGGAGATGAAAACGTGTGGGCAGACATGGAGCCAGGTGAAGGCTCTAGCAGAGAACCGAACACAATAAAGACGCACGGCTGAAGCCCTATGTTCCTCTAGGAATTAAAGGAAACAATAATAATAATTATAATGATAGTAACTCTATTTATAAGCACAGAATGGTAGTCAAATAATATCTACCTCAATTCCATTGACTTTTACCGCGAAGTAATCCGGAGATTATTTTAGCATCATTTTCTGCACCAACCCAAATCTTTATGAACCTCATTCAACAGCTGGCTATATGACAATGCCACATGTCTAGTGATCCTTAACGGAAAACTCAGTGAGGCTTTTGAAAGGGAATACAGGAGTAAGACAAGGCTGGTCGCCTAGCATCACCTATGATGTTCCTAATTGTGATGGACTGGATTACGCTGGAAGACTGTGATTGGGGAGTGAGAATACAGACGTATGTTGAACCGATTAGAAGACTCCAGAAGATCTGGATTTCACTGGTGGATGATCTATGTCCAATTTTACACAAACTCGAATACTTACAGGCAGAAATCAACAAACTGGTAAGAGAGGCAGTCAGTGAAGACAGGACTTCAAGTGAACGTAGGGGAGACAGAGGCGATGAGGTTACCTGCGCACCAACAACAATAACCAGCACCAATCACTATCATTTGGAGAAATTTGAAAGAGGTCACTTCCTCCACTTATCTGGCTCTAGACAGCATCGTTTCAACTACAGGCGACGGAGTGGATGAAGATGTCGAAGGCAGAATAGGAAAGGCGAGGTGCACCTTCATTACTCTGGAATCAGTTTGGAAATCTTTCGCACTACTCAGTATGAGCAATAAATGTTAAGGCAGTCAATTCTTTTATGTGTCAGAGACTTGACACACACGTCAGGAGGAACATTTCCAACAAGCCAGTGAAGACTTACCAGCATCTGCTTTCGCTGGCTCCATATCAAAAATCGAATGGTGGGTCGGAAAGAATTAGAAAGAAGAAGCTCTGAGAAGGAGCCAGTCAAGAATCCATTGCTCCACTCTGAAGAGACCATTGAGTAATATTGCGTGCCAGGACCTAGAGTGGAACCCGAATGGAAAAAAACTAGTTGGATATGGGACCGAGGGCGACATGGAGGAAATCAGACTATAGGCACGTGAGGGGCCAGCTACAGATCTCAGAAAATATGACAAAGTGGACATATTCTTCTGAAGCCTTATGTTGCACTGGGAACCAAAGAACAAAATACTATTTCATTTGGAAACCGTAGACGAAGAGAAACTCTAATGCGATATAATTTCCGTTGAAAGTTCTCTACATTATATGAACACTTTTCAGAATAAAAGTATTATAACTGTAGTTATTAAAAACACACCACCCGAGTGACAAATGTTGATTCACATCTTAAAAGCCATCCAAACACAAACAAACACATATAGAGAAAACAAAACACGTTCACTATATACCTATCTAAGAGACAACGAATTCTTTAAAAAACAAAAATTAAAAAGCAGCACGAATTTGAATGCTTTTATTTCCAACGTTAAAACCTCCGCAAAATGTTTCTTGTCTGTATTGTATCTGTCATTTGTGCTGATGACTGTGCATATAAGAAGTCTAAAAAGTTAACAAATAATTACCCTATATGAGTTAATTGATACAAATGTGTGCACCAGAAGTAGTGCAGTGAGGTATCTCGTTCTCTGTTTTTCATGATTCCAATAACAAGCGACAATTGTAAATCAACAATACAGTTTTGATGTTGTGACAACCACTCGGCATATTGATGAGAAGAAAAATAGAAAAAAATTTCATAATTCCCTGACAAAAATCATTTTTTACTGTGTGGAAGCCAGGTGAAGTCAGTTAATAGAACAGACTGAAACCAGTTTGGAAAAATTTCAATCACAAGGCTGAGACAAACTACCTACTCGCAGGTTTTCCAATGCTCCTCTAACCCACAGTTGAATAATAATAATAATTTTAAACTAATTGGCCACCACTGCGGTGTGCTACTCATAGACAGATATCAGTAGTATGTTTAGAGGCAGCAATGTTTTCAATAAGCAACTTTACTTTCTTTGTGAATGGGGAAACTGTTGTCGACGAAATGGAACGATGGACAGGTTTACAATTGTAAGGAGATTCTTTTCTTATACTCTCGTGTTCCCAGTGGAAATACTGGGCCTCACTCTTTGAGATTAGAAGTTCAAGGTATAGCGCTGGTATTGTTTTTGCGGGATGGGGGGAGGGATTGTTGCCACTCTCATAACCAACCTTCCCTCTTTCTTTCTAGACTTACTATTGGCTGACAAACTAGGTAAGGTTTAAGATTGCTCTACCTGTGAATTAGACCCCAACCACTAAAAAACGGACTCACCTAAAAGCAGAACCTTGATAATCAGTTAATACCTGTAATACACAGTTGTTGCCTATTATGGATAGAATCAACGCCAAGATCCATCATTTTCACAATGTTGATTTTAATTTGTCACCAACATTTGTTCAAGTGAACTTCTTAAATAGACAGATACTTGAATAGAATAAAGTGGGGCTCATCGGCGTAATCACTTGACTTTCAGCCAATAAAAATTCTTTTGTTCGAGTCCCGCTTCACTTACTTTAGCCTAGGCAATAAACTAATAAATCTGATGATCCTTTACACAATAAGTTCGCCTCATAGCCTGAGGGTATCATATCAACTTTATATGATTATGAGGAATAGTTTGTCCTCGAAACGTCTACAGTTAATATAACTGTATAACACTGTGTGATTTATCAAAATAAAATCTTATCCATTATGGAGTTATACTCTACCACAGTGCCCAAGTTTTATACTTATATCAACAGTGTGTTGCATTTACCATAGAAATTAATGAACGATACTTTAAATTTGTAAACATTTTCCGTAGCAACCTTGTAATTTATAACAAATCACATTTCTATAATAAATTAACTAGTCCCTTCGCTCTTTCCCTCTCTCTCTCTGTAGTCATCTGCCTGTGTTTCTACTGATAATACCACCGGTTTCAATGGTGCTTCTAGCGTTGGTAATGTTCCCGCCTACATAACTTCCAACCGTAATCAAACCAATTCTGTGGATTCACCATTGAACACGTAGGTTGTTGCTTTTCATTTTCTTCTCTTTTTTTTGAGGTAGTTTCCAATTTGTATACATTCATAGGTGGTGGTGTAGGCCTGTTCTATGGACGTTATTTCACCTTCCCCCTTCTGCCTGCCTGGCTGCCTGCGAGATAAACAACTGGCAGTTATGCTTGTGATTGATCGGTTTTAGATAGCCTACGCCCCATGTATTATATAGGCTACCATATTCATATAAATGATATTCAAATAAAAGAAAAATCCTTTGAAGAGGTCGTGTTATAAAAGAGAGAGTTGTGCTGTGGTTGTTGTCTAACTTCACTAGAATGCATGCCTCTCCAGAACACGACACATTATAACCAACTGGCCACTTGACATCATCTCCACACCCCACACTGAGATAGATAGACATGAAAGTCAGACTGGGAAAAACAACGACAACCGGAATGCCCCAACTACACCACCAACAACAACAAGGTGGCAGTATTAAGCGGGGTATTTTCCAGCAGAAGTCATGGATTGGCCAATCCACCCACTTCAGATCGTTTGTTTCTCTTGTATGCAAATGAAATCTTATGAATACCCTGATGTTTTGTGCTAGAAAAATCTACACAATCGACACTCGAGACGATGCAATAAGGAAAATAGAATGGATACCTGGAAAAACTTGTTAAAGTCTCCATGAGGAGAACAGATAGAAAGAAATGCCTGCAAACGGTGCAGAAGAAGCGTATATATAAGCCTTTACCGTTTAGAGGAGACACAGTAACTGAATTGCTGGCACCAAAACTCGGAAAAATAACAGCTAAAACATTCTTTGCCGCAACATTGTGTTTAAAATTCTCCACCCGTTGTATAATTCCAACGCAGGGAAAGTATAAGCCAGCGAGTCTGATCACCTCAATGCTCATTTATAAATTTAACTAGTCATCTGGAAACAGTTACGTAGGTAGAATGACTCGACAAGCCTATTGTTGCCTTCTTAAGCATTGTCTTCTAATGAATTAAAGTAAAGGTGTCGTAAAGTCAATCAAAAGTCCTATACTGGCACACCTAGTGTATACAGAGAATAAGATTGACAAAAATTCAGCTCTTACAATCCTATACAAGGTGCCACTCCCTAGGTTGGTATATCATTCGGTTACTAGGCATATCTTAGGAAGTTGCTATAATGATTTTTCAACCCAGTCGCAGTGTTCAGAAAAAGTTTGTTCAATCTCTCTCCTTCCTTTGACTTTCACCCGCAGTGATACCGGATAACTATGAATATTATCTTATTCCTTAATTTGACTTTTATTTGTAATGCTAACTGGTATTATCAATATCATGCTGTGCAGTAGCTGTAAATTTTAATCTCGATTTCACAATTTATTGTTATTATTGTTATATTATCTAATCGCTATATGACAATAGTTATTTTCCCCTCTACCCCCACTAGTATACACATTCTACTTATACACTTACCATTACCTAGATTATAATAAACACTTGGATGAATTTATCCTTGTTACTGTTATTATTATTTTGATCATCTCGATTTTTTATTTTTATTTCTTTCACGTTCCCCAGTGGAACATAGGGCTTTAAGCTAGTGACTTGAAGTTTCTGTAGCAGTGCTTATTTTACAGGATGGGGTCGCTAGCCTCATGCCCAACCTTTCTTCTTCACCAGCATTATTTCTGGCTTAGCGAGGTAAAGGAGTGCGTCAGCCGGGGGTCGAACCCTGGACCATGTGCATGATCGACGAGCGTCCTAACCGTTATGCCACCGACGCACACAAACATTATCAGGGCAAGGCGCATGCGAATAACACACAGCCTTCTTCAAACCTTGCACACAACTATTAGGTCGCGTACTATCCCATCGCCCTTGGCAGATCTGGCAACAAAAGTTACGAGAACACCATCAGAGCATATGACAGGTTAGGTACCCCGATCACCTCGATTGTTATCTATTAATTTTCATCCTTGAACTCTGATCCCGCCTATTTTATCAACCATGCCTATAATTAATATTTCATTATGCTGTGAATGTAAAGCCTAATGAATCTCTACCGAAAATACGTATTTGCTTAAATCATTCTCTATAACAACCTTTATGAGACAATACGTGCTATGTTAATATGTATATAAACCCTCAGAAATGTAAGCCATAAATAAAATAGATCTGATTGGTTGTGTATGTCATGAGAAAATTAAGCTGTAAATATAAACGAATCAAAATTGTCCAATTAGGTTATATTATGACACAGTACATGCAGGGATCATAAATTCACGAAATTAACAAGGAAGCTTCTACTTCTTAACGGATGTGAAATAAATCGTATTATGACTTGTTATTTCTTAAGCATCTGAAGCAAGATCTAGTTAAGTTAGTGTGAAGTCGGTTCTTCTATAGGGGTCCGAAACTTGCACTGCGTGTTACGAAAAGGATTTCCAACAGGTTGCAGACTTTTGTCAATGGCTACCTTCGCTGGCTGCATACTGAAGATCAAATGGCTGGCCAGAAAGAATAAGCAACAAGAAGCTATGGAAACAAACCAACCAAGAGCCTATCACTCAACAAATATTTAGGAGAAAGTGGAGATGAATGGATCGGGCATACATTGAGGAGGCCGCCGAGTGACATCGCACGCCAGGCCATCGCTCGAGTGGAATCCAAATGGAAAGTAACGACGAGTGGGTTGTTGGTGCGAGGGTGAGCTAAGAGAGTTTGATCAGTCGTTGACCCAGCTGAAGAGGACGACAGAAAACAGAACAAAGTGGAGATGTGTTGTTGAAGCCCTCTATGTTCCACTCGGAACGCAAAGGAATAATAATAAGGTCGAAATGCTGTAATATATTTGAAAAATTAATGTATGTGTAAAAATTGGGTACTGTGATAGAATGTAATTTCATATTCATTTGTTCATTAGATACATTACACAGTCAGTGAAATAGTATAATTAATTGCACACTGGATGATAACAGAGTTTTGAACACAATTTATGATTGTTCATAATCATCGAATCATAAAGGTGTGTAACTAAACAACTTCGAAACTTGAGTTTTATAGTTTTCTTCATTCCTTCCTATTTGTCGTCGTACGAGTAGTGGAATTTTCCAGATGTCCGGAATAGGTGTGAAGTCATAATAATGGTAGTAATTATATTATTATTACTATAACTATAATTACGATTATTATTATTAGTAATTCTATTTTTACATTTTTTGTACATACTTCGTGATTAGTTTATCAGAGTAATTATTAAGTTTTAAAGCTCCTGATATATGCCTCACTTCCTGTAATAAAATTATTAATAATAGTAATAACAATTGATAATGCTGGTCATAGTAATGATAATAATATTTTGGTGTGGTTGTGTTCTCTGAGCTGGATGGTTTGGTTGCGAAGCTTTCATTGCTCTACTGAGCAACATCTTCAGCGCATACTTCGATGTGAAGTGAGCTTTTAGAATTTTCTATGAGTTTATTAGTCATCTCTTCTAGTAACCTTGAACGTGATTGGTTGTTTTCGTGTGACATTTCATCCCCTAGTTTGCTTGTCTCGGTGCTGGCTGCTTCTTTGGTCTGAATGTCGTTAGTCATTCCTTCTGCTAACCCCAGCTCAACCAACCACCAGCGAAAACACAAAGAAAGTCGTCCTACCATATATAAAAGATATCTCCGAAATCACTGCAAGACTATTCAAACCTTTTGGAATCGATGTCGCTCATAAACCAACAAAGTCACTACACTCAGTTCTATGTGAGCCAAAGGACTCAACGGCAAAAGAAGACAAAACTAACGTCATCTACAAGATAAGTTGCAACGACTGCGACAAACATTACATTGGTCAAAGTGGACGCCCTCTTCGTCTCCGCATTCACGAACACAAACTAGCTGTCAAAAGACACGACATACACTCCCTCATATCACTACATGCAGACAACCACGGGCACCAATTCGACTGGGACAATGTTCAAATCTTAGACAAAGGGAACTGCAAAAATGCCAGAGAATTCCTAGAGGCCTGGTATTCAAATGAATCAGCAATCAATAGACACATAGAGATTGACAAAATATACCAATCCATACGAAGAAATTCACACAAAAACAAAGTCAAACTTCAGGTCAAGGAAACAGTCAACACCAAAACAAGTGAACTAGAAAGTGAGAAGTCACACAAAAACAACCAATCACGTTCAAGGTTAGCAGAAGGAATGACTAACGACATTCAGACCAAAGAAGCAGCCAGCACCGAGACAAGCAAACTAGGGGATGAAATGTCACACGAAAACAACCAATCACGTTCAAGGTTACTAGAAGAGATGACTAATAAACTCATAGAGAATTCTAAAAGCTCACTTCACATCGAAGTATGCGCTGAAGATGTTGCTCAGTAGAGCAATGAAAGCTTCGCAACCAAACCATCCAGCTCAGAGAACACAACCACACCAAAATCATCCACCTGAGCTACAAATCTTCTCTATTATATCTAGATAATAATAATAGTAATGACATGCATGTCAAACATACACAGAATGATGAAAACATCAACAAGGAAGCATTTAAATCATCAGTAGCACTTCCATGCAAAGGAGGAACCTTGGAAACCTCATGCCGAAGAATTCTTAACAAGGCAGGAATAAATGTGGTATTCAAACCGCCCACAAACTTGATTAGAAACAAGCTTTGTCAGTTAAAGGATCAATGCTGTGGAGCCGATTAAACAAAACAATTTAGTTTATCTAATACCATGCCTACACTGACTGTCAGGTCAAAGTAGTAGACATGGATCAGTCAGTCAAACTAGTGGAGCACAAAAACCTAGCAAAATCTAGATTAGTTGGCCCGACACTAAGATAAGAAATCTGGAGAATAGTTTAGCCGTAGATAGCACTACATGCAATTAAACACAATCATACAATAAAATGGGATAAAATGACAGTTCTAAAATCGAATATGACAGGTTGGGGAGAGAGAGAGATAGATTGATAACTGAAGCTTTACTTATTGAATCAACTGGAAATCCGTACAATAGGAATAAGTGAACACGTATCCCGAACATCTGGAAAATTCTACTACCCGTAGGACGATGAATAGGAAGGAATAAAGAAAACTATAAAACTCAAGTTTCGAAGTTGTGTAGTTACACATCGTGATGATTTGATGATTATGAACAATAATAAATTGTTTTCAAAACTCTGTCATCCATTGTATAATTGTGCTGTTTCACTGACTGTATGATATAATAATAATAATGATTTACTTTATTCCAAAAACAGTACTCGTGATACAGAATGGAATTTTCAGCATTAATCACAATATTGCATCTAATTTCCTCAAATTACAAATAAAATTAATCACACAGAAAAATTTTCTACATTTACAATAGGGTTAATATAAAAAAAAATAAAAAACATACAGCATATAAAATGGTAATAATAATAATGATAGCAGCTAAGGTAAGGATAATAATAATAATACAAGTGGAAATTGCCGTGGGCTTGTTTCACACAGTACTGTCGATGTGGTATACAAATCCTTGCATGATTAAAAATATTGAATATGATGTTCTCTTCACATTATATGGTGAGGGAAAAAACAAAGATTACAGCAGTCATAGAGATAAGTTGGTGTTTTCAGTTATGAAAGTGAAAACAAAGAATCAACAGGACCATAAATATAATAGAAATAATAAAAGTAAAACTTGAAGGTATATAAAGATGGATGGAGGAGATTGTTTATTTACTAGATGAAAAAAGGTTAGTCAATTCTTGCCTGACGCTATTTTCATCACATAAAATACGTGCCAAGTATGGTATCATAGAATTTTTATACTTAGACGTGCGAGCATACAGTTTTCTGAAGTTACTTCTTGTTCTACCTGAGGAGATGCAAGGTGAAAGGTGAGGGTGCAGTGGATGCTCCAAGTCAGACAAAATCCCTTTAGCAAATTTATTGCACGAAGTCAAGTGCCTATCGACAACGACGTTGACTATGTAGTCCACTGGGACACCACTCATCCTACTGACAGTCTTCAGCATTCTACGAATTGTGACAAAGTCCTTTTTAAGCAAACCAGGAAAGAATAAGGGTGAACAATAAAGAAGAATAGGTAGGATGCAAGAGTTTATGAACTGTAAGAGGAGTGGTTGAGTTATACCTGAGTGCCTTAACTTCTTAATATAAAATGTCAAGCGGAATATTTTACTGGAGATCGCTGAGACATGGGAAGACCAGGAGAGATCAGAAGAGAGAATAAGTCCAAGATATTTAATTTCCGATTTAATTTCTATATCATTGTCGTCAATCTTACAACTGTCATGAGAGTCGACGGCTTCTTTTAACTGTCTTTTACATCTTAAGCTGAAATTAACAGTTTGACATTTAGAAGGATGCAGTTTAAGACCGTTAGACTCAGACCATTTGCTGACTCCCGACAGAAAGCTATTTATTTTGGTACAATCCATCTAATAAACAAATTAATATGGAATCAAGTGAATGGTTGAATCTTCAACGTAGAACACTTTGTATTAAAGTTCAGTAATTCAAGTTACCAGGCTATATATGAAACACGCGTAAAGATGGAGGATGAAAAATGCAAAGAAACTATAACAAACGAAAGTCTGTGGGAAAAAAAATAGCTAAATCACAATAAGAAATGAAGATTTCCAATCTGTCTACATTTCGTCTTTTAGTGGTGATAATAATAATTCCAAAAGAATACTTATGACAGTGTGGAATTGTCGCCATCTCGTACAATACTGCATCTAATTTACTCGACAGCAAAAACTAGGCTTCTGCCAACCGGAGTAGACAACAGCCGCGGAATGAAACATTCGAATAAACAAACTATATGTTGCTCATTCAATGTTCACAAAACACTGTTAAACTGTTGGAGTAAATGTCGGTTACCACCCAACGATCTATATTATATTAACCAAAAGAAGACAAAACTAATATCATTGTACAAGAAAAATTGCAATAACTGTGAGAAGCATGATATTGCCCAAAGTGGACGTCGTCTCCGTCTCTTCATGCACAAATATAAACTAGCAGCTGTTAAAAGAACAACATGACCATTTTCTCACATCATTGCATGTAAACGACTATGAACACCAATTGGACTAGGAATATCTATAAATCTTAGAATGTTAGAGAATTTTTAAAAGTCTGGTACTCAGATGAATTTATGCAATCATTAATAGATATTTTGACCAAGATCAAATCTTATCGACTAATAAAACAGCCATCACATGAACAGAAAGTTTTAATATCAAGTTGACAAAGCAATCATTACTAAGAATAATTCAACACGAGAGTAAGAAAATCTTTGGAGGCAACCTCTCACCAAGTTATCATTATATGATATTCATGGAAAATTCTTACGGTTCAATTCATATTGAAGTTAGGCACCGCAGATTTCATTTAGAAGAATAATGAAAGTTTCACAATTAAATTGTCCAATAAAATTAATGTCTCCTACTTCCTTCAGATTAGGTCACGAGCTTTCTATCTCCCATGTTAGGTGAAATAATAGGGTGAGTAATATTGAGGTGGTTAGGCGTCGAACGCTAGATTAGGAGGGAAAGTCAATCGACAAGGTTGTGAAGTTACATCAACTTAGATGGTTAGGACATGTGTTACGCATGCTTTTCTAACCATCTCCGTTGTCGACCGACAGTCGATGTTAGCTGACATGGGATCGATGACGTTGGAAAACGGTTAGTTAGTGGTGGTCAAACCGAAACCAAAATGGCTTCATCAATCAATTAAATGCATAACAGTTAGTTTAAGCCAGACAGACAGCCACGTAGGGAGGCGTGGACTGCTTGGCTGCTGGTTGGAGTCCTCGGGATTGTAAGAAACAATGGAGGCTGGAGACAATTAGTTATATGGCTAGCTGAAAATCATCGTTCTCAGTGATTGGTGGTGCAGATGCATTCACTCTTTGTGATGATCTGTCATATCCAGCATAACTGTATTGTTTTCCCGTATTATTATTATTATTATTATTATTGTTCCCTTGGGTTCCTAGTGGAACATAGGGCTTCAACTGCACGTCTCCACTTGCTTCTGTCTTGTGCTGTACTTTTCACTTGCGTCCATGTTATTCCATACTGTTTCATCTCCTCTTCACACGATCTCCTCCATGTCACCCTTGGACGTCCCACTCGCCACTTCACTTTCGTGATCCACTCGAGGGCCTGGCGCGCGATGTCACTCCACGGCCTCCTCAGCGAGTGTCCAATCCATCTCCACTTCCTCCTGCATATTTGTTGGGCGATTGGTTCCTGTTTCGTTTGTTCCCACAGCTTCTTGTTTGTGATTCTTTCCGGCCATCTAATCTTCAGTATGGAGCGAAGACAGTTGTTGATAAAGGTCTGCAACCTGTTGAAAATATTTTTGGTGACCCGCCAAGTTTCTGATCCGTAAAGCAAAATTGACTTGACGTTTGTATTGAAAATCCGAATTTTGTTGTTGATGGTGAGTTGAGTGACGAAGATTTCCAGATTGGTTTCAGGTTGATGAATGTGTTTCTCGCCTTCCCGATTCTCGATTTGACATCCTCGTTGGTTCCTCCTGTGGTTGAGACAATGCTCCCTAGATAAGTTTTCCCGTATTACTACTATTCTTTTTCCCTCACTCACACTTCTGTTTGTTATCTGTCTTTTGAATGTCTCTTCTCTACCTCTGTGTGGCACATAGAGGGAGAGTGTCAACTAGAACTGCTGCATATCTGTGGAAAGTTCTGTGCTGAAACCAGTAAGTCAGTCAGATGAGGAGCTGACGTGAATTAGAGAGTGATTTAAAATCAGTAGGCTCTGGAAGACTCTTCATCAGTATGCATCCATAACTCCATTTGGGATTGAATCCAAGACCAATCAGTTACGAAGTATGCCTGTCGATCACCATTCGTCCACTGGGATGGAGTTCAAACACTAATGAATTCTAACCTCTGCTAATTTTGTGATTTTATTTCTTCGTATAACGATTTGTAGATAAAATGGTTCTTACTCCACATGTTTTCGTTTTGCTTTTTCTCTGTTTACTTCAGTCAAAAAGGAGTGGTCAATTCGAATACTGCTTCAACATTAACATCAACAAATATTATACAGTCAAGTGTATTACCATTCAGTAGAACAGAATTAGAAATATTACGTCGTGAAATAATCATTGAATTACGTAAAGAAGTTCAACTGGCAAAAAATGAAATTTTAGATTGTAAGTTTGATTTTGTTTTTCATACACCATTTTTATTCATTCCCCTTTAAGAATTTGAATAATTTAAAAATAATTTTTTCCCTTTATGCTATAATAAACATTGTAATTCTGACATGAGTTCTGCTACCACAAAAACAATCCTAGTGCTTGGTACTGTTTAGCAGTATGTACCCACCGACCGGGTTTCAAACCCTGGACTTTCCGGTCTACAAGCTTGCCTTGTAACCTCGCCTTTCCATAAAGCACAATACGTCATATTGTAACGATAGAAGATAAGGGCCAGGCAACAGCTTGTTTATTGAGAAAATCAAGAAGTATTTATAGATTTTGTGTACATTATTGATAGCAGTGAAGCAACCTCTTCTGTTTGGTTACTTTCTTGCTGAAGACTATTCTTCTATCTCTTTGTGGCCGTTTCTCAGAAAGTTAAGCCATATGTATCTGCGAATCATATTTCCACACGTTAACTCTGCTGTGATTGGCTGGTGATTTTCTCAAGGTTAAGCTTTGTTATTTGTTTTTTCTCATGACCCTGATTCGGGACGTGAATGTTGACGTAAATTGTGTTGTCTACAATTTTGGCTTGCAACCAGCTTTCATCACAATATTTACTCAGGTTTATACTTTGTTTTAACCACATGTTTGTGTTCTTGAAGAACAATGTGTATTGATGTGCAGTTTAGAAAGGCTTTTAACATACCACGTTTGGTATGCTTTGAAGGGAAAAATACATTGTGGGGGGGGGGAGTTGGAGCATGTTTCAGATAGATCAAAATCCTGTCAAATAATATACTGGTGATCACTGTTCAACTTGGAGATCCTGCATAAGGAGTAGATAAAATGAAGCGGCAAAATTTTATATTGCTTATAAATATGTTCAGAATAGAGCTATTATTATCATTAAAAAGGTGAGAGAAGCAAGTTACTACTAATTCTTGAGTTAGTGTTCATGATGTTGTTCAGAGTGGCAGTCAATTGAAATTAGGCGAACAAAGACATCCAGCAGTTCAAAGAGAAAGGTACCTAACTGTGGAGGTATTAAAATCTGACTGGTTTTTGTAGGTCATCATCAGTACTGTTGATTTCCTCAACTTCTGTAGTCAGTACAGTACAATACAGGACATAACATTGGTCAGGTTACTTTTCGACTGAATTATTCCCAATCAATACGTCGGTGGTTCAGTGATCCGAAGTTCGATGTCCAGCTGACTCACTGCTCAGCCACACGTAAGCTGTAGTAAGCCCGATAGAGAGAGGAAGTCGGAATTGAGTCTAGCGACCGCGTCCTGTACAAAGGTGAGTACTACCATTGCTGATGAATCTTCATAGCTCAAGGTTGAAGTCCTATGTTGCACTCGGAACGCAGAGGATTAAAAAAAATTCCTCATAAAGTCCTAGTAATCTTATTATTATTTCTGTTATTATTTATATTGATTCCATCAGGAAACTTCAAGGACTCTTCTTTCTTTTTATTCTGTTTTCTAGGTATCAAATTGTACAAAGCTGTTTAAACACACTCAAACATATAGACATCCGTATTTTGCTTTTCCTGTCTGTACAATATCCAGTGGATATATACATACGTCAGACTTCTTTTTTTAAAAACAAATTGGCGTCCAATTTAATTTATTGTAATCACATATGTAATTTATTGTATTTCTTTATATACGTTACATATAAGTTAGACGCATATACACGATTGTATAACCGGAACTTAACTCTCTAACCAAAACTGTAAGATACTAAAGAACAAGCTAACTTTAGGTGAACACTAATCATTCATTGGTTCCATGCTTATCTCTTTCCTCTATGTGTATCTATGTCACGCTGACATGTACTTGTGAGAATGGGTGTGTTATTGTAATACATCATACATATACTCTTTTCATTGGTGCCTCATTCATAACTCACTACTAATAAAGATATATATGTTTGTAAAGTGCTTATTTTCAAGTGTGTGTTACTGTAGTTATCTTTCGTTTCTCTACTTTTATTTTATCTTCAAATCATATTTTTTGTTGATTTTCACTTTCTGTCTTCTGTTTTTAATCATTTTTATTTGATGCTTAACACATTCCATGTTTCCCTTGGTGATTTTTCAACGAAACGATCTCATACTACTTAATAAGGTTTTCAGTAGTTAAAAGTAAATTAGCTTTGTTTTTATTTTTTAAATCGTACATCATACAGTAAGGATAGTAGTTTGAATTGTACTCATTTTTATTTTCTGATTTCTTTGTTGGTTCATTTTTGTGTTTTTATTTACTTATTATGGCTATTATATGCGGATATATATATATGCACACATACACAAGTAAGCTTGCATTTCGCCTCAAATGTATTTGTAACCACCTGCCATTTAATTAATTAGTACTAGGCATTTTTAAACTAACCAAGTTCTTTTGTATTGTGGATAATTTCTGCATTACCTCTGAACTATAATCTAATCACAATATATGCGCCTTTTTGTGGGCGAGTTTGTGGCTGTCTCTTTATGTGTGTGTGTGTGCCTCGTCGTATATATGCATACAAGGTTCCCGCCTATGTTTGAGATTTAACTCTTTTCTTCAAATGAACCAGGTGTGTTGTATTATACGTCTTTGAAGTATACTTTTCCTCGTCTCTTCACCCCTCTCTCTTTCACTTTCCTCACACACACGCGAACACTCGCTGTCTCAATTGATCTCTGGCTTATATTTTTTTCTTTTTGGTTCTTTTGTTTTAATTTTGGGTGGTGTACCTATATATATTATATTTGGTTATATTATTACAACAGGGTGTTTGTTTTGCAAGTACTTTCTATTTTATTTCACTTTTTATGTGCGTGTTTGTATATGCGCCTTACTTCATTCCTGATCTGTTGTTTGTCTGTGAAATATGGTGATATGGTTATCTGCAAAATATATTACTATTATTAATTATCTTTATTGTCTGGTCGTTGTAATCGATAGTTCCCATTTTGATGGGGTGTAGTGGTTTTCACCACATCATAACACTAACTACTATAACAGAAGCGTCAATTGGATAGTGTGTTACTGTCATCGTGTTGGTTACCGCTAGGGGGAAGAAGTTTTATCAGTAACAAGGTTGTTTCTTCAAGACGATCATAGAACTAGCTGTGTTGCCTTCAAGATGATGAGTAGAAGAAGCACTAGGAAAGATTGTGCTATTAAAAATTTGTAGAACATGATCAACCTAGTACAGATATATCCCTTTTGGTTCTGTGACTGTAGCTCATTTCATACATTTCATTGTCATAATGGCTCCCCTCCGGAGCCAGCGATTTTATGACCCAAGTGGTCTAGTGGATAAGGCTTTCTGCGTCGGTGGTATAGCGGTTAGGACGCTCGCCGACCATCCACATGGTTCAGGGTTCGATCCCCGGCCGACGCACTCCTTTACCTCGCTGAGCCAGAAATAATGCTGGTGAAGAGGAAAGGTTGGGCATGAGGCTAGCGACCCAATCCTGTAAAATAAACTGCTACAGAAACTTCAAGCCACTACCTTGAAGCCCTATGTTCCACTGGATAACGTGAAGGGAAAAAATGTCAAAGTCGCTTCAAAGCAAACTCATTCGTTTCCTGAAGTTATTTTCAATTTTGGACCAAAATGCTGTTGATATATGTCGGCTCCTAGTGTGTATGCTTCGACGACGTCGTGGGATTGATATACTGTTAATTGGTATTGGGACCAATGATACGACGCGTTTCATCTGTAACGGGTGAAGAGTAGAGACTTGGTAACGGAATGTTTATTAGGAATTCGATATACAAATATAATGAAATTATGTACACAACCTTATATGAAATTCGTCATTTCCACAGATCTTCTGTGTTGTACTTCTTCTGCTCTTTGTATTGTGTTTCTTTGTCTTCTCTTCGTGTTTCGTGCCTCCCATGTTTTGTCGCGATACTGGTTGGTTGATTTCCTCTCTTTCATGGTAAATTCTCCGAAAAGAGACTCTTCGCTGAACTACTTGTCTTCTGTCTATTAAATCTATCCCTCCGCTATTTGATATTTTGAGCCGTTGGACCTGTCTTTTAAACTACTGAAAAATTATGTCAGTAGCACACTCCATACGTGCTATTCAGAACTTATCAGTTGGGTGTTACTACATTCCCAATCAGTAATAGTGTTCCCAATAAGATGGAAACCTAGGCCCCATCGCCTCAAACACGCAAGCGTTTCCTACTGGACCATGAGGGCCACCATTAATCAGTGGATATACAGCTACACCTAGTTAATGATTCCCGAATTGGACGTCTCAGATTCTACTGCCACCAAACGGATAGGAAGCGGTTAAAACAGTAATCAGTATTTTAAGCAAATGTACGGATGATCTTGGGTCTCGATGAATAACTTTCTCGCTTCATTGTCTAACCTTCGTCCAATCGTCAACCAATCAGAATACTTTATGTTCCACTGACCTAGCCGAATTTTAATATGATTAGAAATTCATAAATATGATGTGCTTTTCCTTAACAATCAGGGGCCGGTCTTCGTATTTTGATATTTGCGAGACTTAGTGAAGCGCAGTGTAATTAGGACGAATAAATGTATCTAGTATTTCAGTTGAATTGTCCATTGCGTTCAATGTTATTGTGCTCACGTATAAGTCCACTCAGTCGACGGGTTCATATCACAAACAAGTTACTTCAAGTAGGCAAAACAAATGCTGGCTCTAGAAGTGTACTAGCATTTTGAAAAAATGACTGACTCTACACGGTATGTATTTGAATAAAATACAACTGACAGGAAAAAACAGAGACAAATCTATAGTGTCAAACATATGTACTCAAACTAACATCTGTTGCAACAGAATTAAGAAATTTAGTTCATTTTGGATTTTCCCATTGACTGATTGGACTGAAGTGGTTGGCCTCAGGTTGACATGTTGGCTGCTTGTGCGCGGATGCTTCGACGATGTCTGAGGATTCAACTTGAAGTAATTTGGTGAATGGTAACTAACAGTGGAATCCAAGATGCGCGCATTTAGTCTCTTAGTTGGAAAACTATCACTGACTCATTAGGAAATGCATGTACATCCAGATAACCAGTCTCCAATGGGACGAATTGCACGTCCTGGATTCCACTGGTGATAGTCACCATTCAGCAAAGAACTAGGCGATGTTGAAAGCAACAGGAATGATGAAAAAAGGCGAAAGATAAGTGAATATAGAGAAAAACGCCTATTAGACCGTTAGCTGACACTGAGTGAATGTGGACTATTCCGTTTGTTACTCTGAAATTAGTTAATACAAGGAACAAGATCTGGATTTTCTAACACTAATATCAAGTCAGTGGTGCTCTTTTTTGGTTCAGAGAGTAAATAAACATTTTCAGCAACCCGCTGTCACTTCATACTTTAAAATCATATGATAAGAAGCCATAATTAACAAGGAACGCTGGCAGCAAACTAGCCAACAAGTATACATAAAAGGAAATGGAGTTAGGATGGATATACACTTGACGACACCACACGCTAGATCATTGACTGGTACCCTAACAAGAAGCAGCGAGTTGGACAACCAAGGGTGACATGGAGGCCATGTGACGATGAATTGAAAACTTGTGAGCAGTAGTAGAGTAATCCAAAATTGATGGCTTCAGACAGTCTAAACTTCCCTATGTGGTTCAAACCAAATAACTATCAAAGAATTTATGGATTGGGTTTGGTTTGATCACTCCTAGTCTCTTTCCAATCTAATCCTATGTCAGACAACGTTGGTCTGGTCAACGAGGAAAGAGGTTCAAATGCAATGAGAATGTGCCGTTTAGGCTCCATGTTTCACTTGGGATGCAAGTAATGCACAATGATAATAATAATAATATAAGCAAACACACTGATACAATATAAGGCAGTATTATAATTTGCTAATTATCGACAATCATCATTTTATCCTTAAACACATACACAGCTTTCCGCTATTTTGAAAGAAAAACCAACACTCTAAAGAGATGTGGAAGGAAACAGCTATTTGAATGGCATACTACAATATAGTTCATGATAAAATGTATAAAAGTTTCAAAAATGCTTTGTGGTGTGTACTACTGAAAATATTTATCAGTAGTATATAGGCGCAGATTGACAGGAAGCAGCCAAGATCGAAACCAACATTTTAAATCAATATAAATTATTTAAATTAATCCCAGCGAGTTAAGAAAATCAAAACAAGATTTTTCTGAACGTTTCGCTGTGTAAGCCACAGCTTCTTCAGAAGATTTATTCGGATTTTTATTAATCATTAATAAAAATCCGAATAAATCTTCTGAAGAAGCTGTGGCTTACACAGCGAAACGTTCAGAAAAATCTTGTTTTGATTTTCTTAACTCGCTGGGATTAATTTAAATAATTTATAATGAATCAATCTGACTCGGCGCTCAAATTATTTCAGGAAGTTCGTAACATCTACGGCCTGGAAACCTATAATTTTAAATCAATAGCTGGCTGCAGAGGTAGCAGTGTTTGTTCCTCAAATTTGGATTTAGTTTACGTTGTGATCAGGAAATAACCTTATTTATTGAGCAGCCTTTCGTCTCAACGTTTAGCCTTCAGAGGACCGAAAACCGATCAGAACAGTTTATCATCCGCTGACCTAGACAACCTTAAGTGTGGCAAAAAATCTACGCATATGGTGTTTTCCCCTAATAGAAAAGTTCGTTAGCATATTTGTTGTCTTCTCCCGCTACAGGTCGACTTTAGCTTTCTACAAGGTATTGATCGGTGTTTCAGTGATAATGCCCGTTTGAACGTGTGTATCAAAGTTTATTAGTGACAAGTAAATACCCTTTAACCTCTGAAATGCATACAGTTCTTTTAGTGGCTTTCATTGTAAGTTGATTGTAGAGTGCTCAGTTGAGTTAGCTAGCACTGAATGAGGTCGCCAGACAATCAACGAATTAACCAGTGTTTAACATGAGATGTAGACCAGTAGTTCAAAGAAGGGAAAGCGCTTATTACTGTTATTATTCATTCATTCATTTTGCTCTTAATGGAACATTAGATCCAGAATGGCACTACACTTGGTCCTGTGCCATCACCTGAAACTAACCACACGACTGCCTAAAAGCTTCCATTTCTTATTAATATGATCTTATTCATGTCATCCACATCCAACTCGTCGCTTACCGTTCGGTTCCCACTTGTAGGTCTGGGATGTGATTACTCTCAGTGCCTTTCTCCTCAGTCCCTATTTCCAATCCGTCTCCATTTTCTTCTGTATGTTTTGAATAAAAAAAGAACGAATATATATTTGTAGGATAATATGAGCTCGTTTTCAATCACGTTCATCCTAAATAAAATCAACTATAAGTTACAATAGAACATGAACGTGATAATCAGTTCCACTTCCTAGACTTCGACATAAAAAGAAGAAATGTTAGGACTATTTAAAAATCCATTTATAGGAAAGAAACTTGGACTGGTCAATACTTGAATTATCACAGCTTTTTCCCAATCACCTACAAACGGAGTCTTGTAAAAACGCTCTTTAGCAGAGCTAGATAAGATTGTAGAGGAACCCGCAGTTATCGAAAAGAGCCTTATCGAAAATGGATACCCTAGAAAGTTCATATTAAAATATGAGAGTCAAAAAAAACACTTAGACTGAAACCCAAAACAGTTGGAAAGAAACCAGTTTTTTATCTGTCTAGCGTGCAAAGGCTAAAAAAAGTATCTATAAGAACGGTAAACAGAACTAAAGGTGCACTGAGAAGAGCATTTCCCGCCGCCAGGATCATTCCACTTCACAACACAGTATGCTCGTTAACTCAAAAGTAGACAAGTATCCTCCTCATTCCAACTTTGAATGCATATACTAATCCACCAGGATTTGCGGTAGCAGGTACATAGAAAGGACTGAGAGGAGGGCGTCTGTTAGATTCGCCTAGCATATCTCTAAAAGTCTCCATTTGAAAAGCAGCAAAGTGCTCCTAAGCGCAATTGCCAGACACACGTAATTAACACTGAACACACAGTGTAAATTAGTCTGGCTTTCAAAATAATCAATACACAAAGAAAAGCATGTCTGCTTCAACTCGCAGAAGCCATTGCCATCAAAAGACTTCTATCCAACTTATGTATACAGAAAGGTAGTGTGAGTGATGTTTCACTACCCTGGTAACCACAAAATTGTTTTCTTCTGTTGTATAGCATTCCACTCAATTTTGATTTTCACTTACTAAGTTGAACTCACTGTTAAGTTCTCAAATCTACTAAATTGTTTTGTCTGTATCATGATTTTACTTTACTATTCACTCCCACCCTCCTGAACTCTCCCTCATAATATGTACAAATTCACTCTGTTGTTCTATCTTGTATTTTGTCTCTAGTCCATCCTTGTTTCCAAGCGAAATCTGAACTTTACCCCCTTGTCTAATTATATCACATTAATAGTTACTCTGATTGGACACTAGTAACTAGTGTGATGTGTTTAGTCCTTTTTTTAGTGCAGACCGAATTCTATCAGTCAGGTTTGCAATAAAGGGCGCCACTCTAGGTAGCTCGCCATCACGGTGCACATTGATTTGATGATATTAGATAGTATTTGTAGGAGGTCAGTCGCGAGTCAGTGGTAACGTCTCTGACTACAGCACTGGGTGGCGCGGGTTCGAATCTCAGGACGAGGGACATGAGCTCCTTCCTTCAAGGTTGCAGATACGCCTTGCTGACTGGTGAGTGCCAACTAGCATGAAACCTAGATCCACAGCTTCCTGCCGTTTGCCACCAACCTGTCTGTCTGTCTGTTTTCGACATAGAACTTTGCACATATGTGCGGCAGTTCAAGTCGCCATACTTCACTCAGCACACAAAGCAAGAGAAGAAAGTAGGAGAAATGCATAATATAGACAGTAAACAGAGGTGTGAGACAAAGGAATAGTAATGACGAAGAACAAAACAGTTTAATTGGAAATCATGAATCACAAGGAGTGGATGCATCTGCGCCACTGAGAACGATTTTGAGCCATGTCACCAATTGTTTCCAACCATTGGTTTTTACCGTCCCGAGGACCCCAACCAGACAACGGTCTACACCTTCCTACGTGGCTTAGACTAACTGTTGTGGATTTCATTGACTGGTGCCATGTTTTCGTTTGACCGCCACTAGCTCTTTCTTTGCCTGACCCTATATCAGCTAACATTGCCTATCGGTCGAGGAAGGCGATGACTAGGCATACGTAGCACATGTCCTAACCATCTCAGTCGATGTAATTTCACAGTTTCGTCGATTGATTTCCCCGCCTCACCTAGCACTCGACGCCTAACCTCAATATTGCTCACCTTATTAAAGCACTTCACACGGGAGACAGAACGCAGACACCTATGATCAAAGACAGCTAGTCAGACAGGCTTTTCATGTCTTCCGCTCTCAATGGCCAGGTCTCACAGCCATAAAGGAGGACGGAGCGTACTGTTGAGCAGTACACACGCCCTTTGGTCGATAGTCGGATATCTACGTCTACATCTATGCCTCCAACCATATAATATCACCAAATATTTACTCTTTTAATACTAGATAATTCGTCTACTTACATCACCAATGAAATTATGTCGCCTATACTTTCTTTCTATAACTCAAAGTCACTGTAAAAATTATGATCAGAAGTTTTGTCTAGGATGTAATGCAGTTGAAGAGAATCTACGAAGAAGAAAAACAGGAGTCGTATTATCCTACAAATGCGTTTCTTCTTTCTTTATTCAAACTAATAATAATAATAATTAAGGGAACTGGTTGTACGACATTCTCTATATTTGTTTGCTTATAACTTCAGATTATAAAGAGAAATAAAGCACTACTCCTTTACGTTCCCAGTGGAACACAAGGCTTCAAGTTGGAGGCTTGAAGTTTCGGTGGCAGTGGTGTTTATTTTTACGACATGGGGTTGCTAGCCTCATGCCCAACCTTCCCTCTTTACCAGTCGTATCACTGGCCTAGCGAGGTAAAGGAGTACGTCGGCCGGGGATCGAACCCCGAACCAAATATGGCGTGGTTGGCGAGCATTCTACCTCTGTACCGCTGACGCACTTCACAACGTATATTATGACTTATGTATTACCCAATAACCCATTTTTATTAATAATTGTATAGTTTACCCATTTCTACAATCAGAAAATAAAAAACAAATCAGAACTGCTTTGTTCAATGTATATTTCTCTTAGAAAAAAGGAAACAAAAAAAGAAAAATAGACAAATAACACTCGACTAAGATTCAAGGTAAAATAGGAAAAACCAAAAGAACAGTTTCAATTTCACTTGTCAGGTTCATCATTTCCTTCTTGATCTTTTGTTGCCGCTGCTGCTGCAGCATTTGCACGTAGAACATCACCAGGACTTGGGTATGGACGTTGTTGAAATAATGGTCCAGAAGCTGTAATGTCTACACCAGTTTTAGCTGATGGTGTGCCACTTACTCCCTCAAGACCTGAACTCCATGTTCCACGTGGCACCTCCCCGTACGCAGCTGGATCCATTGGATCTAATGGTCCAAGAGTTGCTGCTCGACCTTAAAGGAATATAAAATGTATTGAAATAAGGATTGTGAACAAAATAAAACTGTGGTAACAATAAATCTAGGCTATGAATAAAGTCAAGTCAGGATTTCATCATGAGCTGGTATCGATTAGAGGACCGTTAGAAAACCACCAAGGAGTACTGGACAGCCAACTGTTTTATCCCAGTGCCGGGGACTCTTCATCGGTACGTACCCACTACCGCCGGGTAGAACCCAGGACCTACCGGTTACAAGGCTATCCCGTAGACCATCAAGGCACTGGGAAGTGATTTAATGGACAGTGGACGAATTCTAACTTCTACCAATTCACGCACAATATAGAGCGATCGGCACTAGCCATTGTTATCGGCAGCGAGTATTTGTCCTCACACCAGAACTGCTGTACCCTACTGGTCACGACTTTCCACTAGAACCCAGGTAACTCGGCAAGTCACTAGTGAGCATCAGATTAATATTCAAGTGTTGGTTTGCACCAACACTTGAAGGTCAAGTCAATATAAGAATAGAATTTGGGCACCCTGATACATTATAGAACACAGTGATACAGTATCATATAATAGTGACGTTTTGAGGACGATTTATTGTTCATAATCATATCACTAATATTCACACGACTTCTTAACTTCTCTCGTATAGTTTGTTCATTTGTTTATAATTCCACTTATTCTTTAATTTTATCTTCCATACATCCGAGATAGGTGTTGCCTCATTCCTATTACATGTATCTGATGTTGATATCAACGGGAGAAATTTGAAAGAGGTCCACTTGCTTCACTTATCTCACCAGGCAGCATCATTGCAACTACAGGTGACAGTACGGATGAAGATGTTAAATCTAGCCAGAATCGGAAAGGCAAGGTATACACCTTCATCACTCCGAAATCAGTCTGGAAATCTTCTGCACTCCACAGTATAAAGGACAAAATTCGGATTCTCAACAAAAAATGTTAATACAGTCAGTCAGTCAGACAATTCTTCTCTATGGATAATAAACTTGCACTGAAAGTCACGAGAAGCATTTCCAACATCCACCTGAAGACTTTTATCAACAGCTGTCTTCACTGGCTCCACATTGAAGATCAAATTGCAAGCCGGTCAAAAAGAATGGATAGCAAGAAACTCTGAGAACAAACCAACCAAGGGTCGATTACCCAAAAATTATAGAGAAGAAAATGGAGACGGATTATGCACATGCTGAGGAGACCATCGAATAACATCGCGTGCTAGACCGGCCCTCGAGCAGAACCTGAATAGGAGACAATGAGTACGGCGTCCTAGGATGACATGGAGAAAATCAGAGAATATGGACAATCGTGGGGTCACCAAAAGAGGACAGCAGAAAACAGAATAAAGTGGAGACGGGCTGCTGAAGCGCTGTGTTCCACTCGTAACTGAAGGGAATAATAACAATAATTAAATAATGAGTTTATGCACGTAAGACTCATGCCTGGGTTTACGCCTTGCAACACTGTTTCCTAAGTTAATCAATTCTAACCAGACTTGAGTACGGTTAGAACTTGGGGTATCATTTTAAATAGTATATTTCACAAGCTCTTTTATAGGTATAGAAGTTTAAGGTGTATATGATAGAGTACAAAACACTCACGAATCCTTATTTATTAAACAGGACTTATAAGACTCTACCTTCAACTGTGTCTTTATTATTCAGTAATCAGCAATGAATTTAATTTCGTAAAATAATGAAAATAGGCAATTCGATACTTCTTCTTTCTCAAAAAAAGAGTTATGAACAACTACACTTACGCTTTCTATCCCTATCCCTATTTCTTGACCGACTGCCTCCTTCTGACGCTTCTATTGGATGTCGATCCCAATGACGTGGAGTGGTGCTGCGACTACGATCATCTGATTGATTACTTATCTGTGAGGCGAATACTGGAGGAGATGGTCCAGGTGGTCGATTCCACTGAGTAGGAGGACATGGATACATTGGAGGCGGAGGATACATTAACGGCAGCATTGGAGGCATCAGATGAAGAGGTGGTGGTGGCGGTGGTGCAGGAGGTTCGTTTCTAGAATTTTGTATATCAGAATTATTCTCAACACTTGAATTAGTATGATAATGATTACTAGTCAATGGAACTCCATCAGATGATTCTTCATCTTCTTCATTAGCCTTTTCCTTTTCCTTCTTCTCCTCATCCTCCGCCTCCGGTTGTTCATCGTCTAATTGATCATAGTCAACCATATTAGTTGAATCTGATTGTTTCCAGGTTGATGAAGTTTCTCGTTCATCAGTTGGCATTTCATTGACATTGACATCATTAGAAGTGAATTTTTGATTATTATTATTATTATTATTATTATTATTATTATTAGATTCAAATGGTACATCTTGCCAACGAGAAGTTGTACGTCTATTACTAGATGAATATTTTTTTCTATCTACATCAATCGGTGATCTAGATCTTTCACGTCGACATCGTTTAATTTCTTCAAATCCATCTGAATCATCTTCATGTTCACTGCCACTACGTGACCGACTATTATTATCATCATCAGAACCACTAGATCGACTACGACGTGCTTCTTTACGTTCTGCAGCTAATACGGCAGCAGTTGCAGCACCGGCTGCAGCACGAGCAGCTTCAAGTTCACGTAGTGTATTCGCTCGGACAATATTACCCGGTTGACTAATCTTAGCTCTTGGATGTAATGGTGATAGCCAGCATACATCATCTGAATTTGTATTCCAGTAATAAAATCTGTTAGACATAAAAAAACAATAGAAATTTTTTTAGTTTGTTTTAGCATATTCACACATTAGCAATGCGTATAAGCAAGTAAGTAAATAAGTCTAAGGTAGTGGAGATTTGACGTATTGGCTTCAGCACTCGACATTCAGAGCCCAGTAGGTTCTCAGTTCGAATCCTACTGTGTCTAATTCAGTCTAGGCAACTGGATTGTATTGTATTGTCATCCCTCACACGACAAATGTTGTACCTTACAGTCTGGTACATAAAAAACCTATTGCCAGCCACAGATTGCCACAAGCTAAACCGCGACTGACTGACTAGTTTCAACATACAACTACTTTGCACAGATGTGCAGTTCACCTTGCCACTCTCCCTTTATGTACCACACAAAGCAAGACAACAGAAAGATTCAAAGGACAGATAACAAACAGAAGCATGAGTGAAGGAAAAAGAATAGTAGTAATATGGAAGAACAATAAAGTTTCATTGGATATGACAAATTATCACAAAGAGTGAATGCATCTGCGCCAGCCGTCATTGCTTCTTAACATCTCGAGGTACCCAACCAGCCAAGCAGTTTACACGCGCATACGTGACTGGCTGTATGGCTGCCTTAAACTAGGTGCTATGGATATGATTGACTGATGAAACCAAAGCTAATGGGAACTAACAAATAGTTCCCATTAGCTTTTGTTCTCCTTTCTTTGTTACTATTATATTGTTGCTCATATATTCTATTACAGACTAATTTTATATATCATATCCTGTGGTGCATTGTTTAAATATGTGAATGCAATGCTGTTCTTTTTTATTTCTTTTATTTCTCTTTTTTCTTTTTGTTGTTGTTGCTTTATATTTTTAAATCCTTATAAAACTTATGAGGTAATTAGATGCAATATTGTAATGAACGCTGAAAATTCCATACCTGTACCACAAATACTGTTTGGAATGAAGCCATTATTATTATTATTATTATTATGGTTCCGGTTTGACCAGCACTAACTAGCTTTCCTCCAACCTCATCGATCCTATGCCAGCTAACAATGTGGGTCGAGGAAGGCTATCAATGGCTAGACATGCGTCCTAAGCATCTCAGTCGACGTAAATTCACAACCTTGTCGACTGATTTTACCCCCCTCCTTACCTAGCACTTTACTCCTAACCATCTCAGTATTACGCACCCTATTACACCTATCGCCTAACACGGTAGGTAGATAGAATGCAGACACCTATAATGATTGACAGTTAGTCGGGCTTTTCATGTTTTCCACTTTCAGTGGCCAGGTCATCTTAGGGCTATAAAGAGGGACGGGAGAACTGCTGAGCAGTACACACGTCCTTTGGTCGACAGCCAGCCGGACATCACGTCTAGTAAGCCAGAGATGGCGTAGGTTGGAGAATGCCAAACCAGGCTCTCGTATCCGTGCTGATATCCCATCAGCGATCAATTCTATGGGACTGGCTGATGTAACTTCCCGAAAAAGTGAAGTAGTTATCAACACGCTCAGCCACCACTTCAATCCCTATCTTTACGCTGCGAGTAGTCAATGTAGTCCAGTTGAGCAGCATCATTTTACATTTGACAGGCGAGAATCGCATGCCAAACAGTCGAAGACTGCTGCCCAAGGTGTTCAGAAGACTGCCCTATTTTGTCAGCGTCTTCAGCTAAGAGGGAGGAATATATAATCCGCACGTCCTAAGTCAACGAGATTGGTAACAAGTCAATCCCTGAGTCACTGAAGTCAGTTAGGGTTAAGTCCATTAGTACATCTAATATGAAATTAAAAACAGAAAAGGGGACAGTGAGTATCCCTGACGGACACCACTGGTTTTCATCACAGGTGTCAGATGACAACTCCCCGTAGGCTCTCACCTGGCTGGCTGCATGAGTTCAAGTACAGCACCTTGACCAGTGCAATGTATTTCCCCGGCATTCCATTCACGGCCAAATATAGCCACAGTAGCTCTAGGTCAACGGAATCCAATGTTACTTTCAGGTCAAGAAAGATGACAATTGTTGGATATGGGTAATCATGTCTAGTATCGAGAAATTGTTGAAGGGTGGAGATGTGATCGATGTGGCTTTTTTCTGGTCTAAAGCCTGCCTGGTTTTCTCGTGTTTGTTTCTCACAAGCACCACTTAATCTAAGCACGATTATTGAGCCTAGAACTTTAAACAAGTAACTGATTTTGGTCAATGATGGCTACCAGCGGTCTCTAGGATACGCATTTAGCCTTATCTGATACTCTTCTGCTGAGTAAACTTGCATACCTAGTGAGTGGTGTTCCCATGGGGACTCGAAACCAATACCTATCGTTCCAAGCACCATACCGCTGTGCACTACGCCAATAAGCCATTACAGTCACCATCAACCAATGGAGATACAGGTACACTCAACTGACGAATCCAAAGAGGACAAAACAGACGACTTAGATTCCAAAGCTAACGATCATCAACCTAAAAACATACTAATCTTAAGGTATCACCGAGGTCTATAGTATGTCAACAGAGGCCTAGGATTGTTATTCAATAAAAATCAGACAAAGGGGAATTCAAAAGATAATAATTTCAATGGATGACTCACCTTCCAGTGACTGGATCACCAACTTCAATCCAATGACTTGGAAGTGGATAACGCCGTAGCATTCTACTCTTAAGACGCATATTTACCATGTCAGTGTTAAATTTTCGTCGTCCATAACGTTCATAACAATATGGAGAACAAATATGATACGGATTGGTTTGATTTGGGCAATCAGCACATTCATGAATTAAAATACCATTTTCAATAACAGGAACAGGACTGACTGTGTAGCATTTTTTAACGGCAGGAGGTTTATCGAATGACGCTGGTAATACAGGTTCAGTTTCTTCATCATAGTTCTCAGCGAAAACTTCTTCCACTATAATAATGATAAGTTTAGTTATCACATCTTATTTACCTTCCTCTTGTGGTTCAGCAGCAACGATACCGCGTTTCTTAAGTCGAGCAAGTAGAGCCGGTGGAAGAGGCATACCGGTGTACAACTATTCCTAGGAAGTAAACACGGACAGTTAAAAAGTCGTAAATAATTTTCAAATTGAATTATTTCTAAGAAACTACCTACAAGAAATAAAAACAGTGGTTACAGGATTTCATCATGAGCTGATATCCGTTGGAGAATCACTGGAAAACCACCAGGGAGTACTGGACAGCTGTTTCATCCCAGCGCTCCGGACTCTTCAGTGGTACGCATTCACTACCAGGGGGAAAACCCAGGACCTACCGATTACAAGGCCAGCTCGTAGACCGTTAAGCCACTGGGAAGCGATTCAATGGATAGTGCATGAATTCCAAGTTCTGCCAATTCATGCATGATATAACGCGACTGGCCCTAACCTTTGTCATCGGCGGCGAATATTTGTCCTCACACCCGAACTGCTGCACCCCACTGGTCACGACTTCTCCCACTAGAATCCAGGTAACTACCTACCTGACGTGTGTCTTCACATTACCGTGAGCTGTCAGCTCAGGATGTAAGAAGCCCATCTGAGCAGAGTTGTTGGAAAACAAACATAAAAAATGGGACTTCGGAATAGCTATTCCAGAGAAGATAATAAAAAGTATATCGAAACCGACGAGTATGTACGTATACTATTTGGGCATGGTAGGGGCACAAGCTTGAATATATTCGAGTCAGTGTAATGATTTTCGAGGAAGACACTTCGCGGAGCAAACCATCTGGCCAACATCTACACTACATTTGCCCAACAGAACAGGCATTCCTGTTGTAACCACATAAAGGTTAGCTTGATAAATTATGTATGATAGTGGGGTCTGTAGTCATAGAAAAATTAGGTGAAACTACTAAAAAACAAAGACGCGGAAAACTAAACCTGTTACATTTTCATCCTTCGAAAATATCTGGAGCACAGCAAAACTTTCCAGAGTCAGGCGTCTTGAGTTGAAACGCTGCTAAAATGCACAGTCTAGTATGTTTTGCATGTGTTACGAATCTGTTAAATGCAAAAATTATGGTACAGAGCTAGTCTGCATGAATTCCTAATTTATCAATAGGAAATCGAGCGGACTAATGTGCGTCGGTGGCACAGTGGTTAGGACTCTCGCCGACCATGCACACGGTCCGGGGTTCGATCCCCTGCCGGCGCACACCCGATATCTATGGTCGGCCTGAATTTGGGCTACCGATATCCATGCTGAAAATTCCACACTTGTACTGTAAATAAGGTATGGAATCAAGCTGTAAATCAAAATAAAATAAATATTTGGAAAGCAGTTGACTGAACCTCAGCATATATACGAAACACCTTCCTGGTACTTGTCAATCTTTTACATTCACGATAACACCTAGGTATATGGATATCTATTAGACAAGATGTCTGAGGTGCGGACGATTGATTTATACTACTTTAGCGCGGTACGATACGACCACTTAATCTGGAATTGATATAAGAATAAAACTTGGGACTTAATCTGGAACCGTACCAAAAATTGAAATGAATTATCAAAGTAGAACCTTGCACCATAGAAAATCAGCTTAGGTTGCCGCACTATGTAAAAGCAATCAGAAAGATAAGCAGAAGTACAATGAAACTTAAATAGAAGCAAATGTACGAGAGAAAGAATAACTACAAGGAGAATTTCCAAGATATGGATGATCAAGCAGAGTGAATATACATGCACCACTGAGAACTACTTTGAATAATACCGCCAAGTTCCATCCATCAATGGTTTTTAGAATCTCGAGAACCCCAAACAAACAATCTGCACCTCTGCATACGGCTCAAACTAACAAAGACTTGATGGATTGGTGTCATGCTTGGGTTTGACCACTCCTAATTCCTTTTTTCCCAATCCTAAGTTAGCTGACACAGCTCAACAAAGAAGGATAGTTTGATATGTGTAACACGTGTCCTAGCCATCTCAAACGATGTGGTTTCACAACCTAGTTAGTCGAATTGCCCTCCTTACCTAACGCTATGCCAAGCTTCAGTATTACTGACCATATTTTACAATTTAACATAAGACAGAGCGCAGACATCTGTCGCCAGAAACGGCCACGTCTCAGCTGTAAAAAAAAAGCGGAACGAACTGCTGTACAGTAGGCAATTCCATTGATGGATAATTGGGTATCACTTCAACCGTCAGTCCTGAGTAACCTATGACTAAGCTTAAAGGTTCAGAAGTAATCAGAGATACACTGAACTAAACCATGAAAACTCTGACTGTTGGTCTCAATAATGTACGAATATCCAATACATCTTGATACGTTTATTCAGTAGTTAAGAGTTAGCAGTCTAGGCAGATGAAGAAAGTTTACAATAAAAAGGAAACATTAAGTCCATATCATCATTTGAATTCTGTTAAGAATTAAACACAAAATTTGACGTGCACATCATACACAACTCCGCAGGTTACACTAACAATCCTGTACTTAAACCCAGATTTTGCAAGCCAATCATATATCGCAAGCAAAAATGCATCACAAAGAATAAAAATTAAGAGTGGACAACTGCCAACTGATTAAATGAAAATTAACATGTGAAAAACCGAATAGTCTCGTTTAAGCGATCATGTGCATTAACATATCAATTGTATTATGTATTGATCATATGGTCATCATTTTCTGCGTTGCATCACTCAATCAAGTAACCATTAATTTCCACACCACTAATTAAGAAACAAAACTAAATTCATGAATAATTCCCATTCGGACATTAGTAGACAAAAGACAAGTAGTTCAGCAAAGAGTCTCTTTTCGGCGAATTCATTTTCAAAGCTGTACAATCGCAAATATATATGGTTATTTTGTGTGTGTGTGTATACATTAAATTTGTCAAACAAAATACGGTTAGTAAGTTCAAATGAATTGGATGTTGATAAGAGGATAGCAACAAAAGTGATGAGTTGTCAAAACGATTGTTAAAGAGGAGTAAGTTTAGGTGAATTGGATGTTCATATAAGAGGGTAGTAACAAAAGTGATGAGTTGTCATAAATGATTGTTAAATAAGAGTTACGTAATGGTAAGAATAGTTTGATGAATGAGTTGTACTCAAAGGTTGTGCATGGAAACAAAATAATATATAGAATTACACAAGGGTTTTAAGTTAGAAAAATAAGCATACAAACAGAAGTAAGGTCAGGTCAAACAAACAAAGAAGAGTTGGGTCAAATCAACGGAGTTGTTACCATGCGAGTAGAAGTGGTTGGATAATTTTCTTTTGTATGCATAGTTCTGGTTCAACCAACTGGATGGCTAGGGCTTCTGCGATACAAAGAAGACGAAATCGTACTGTCTTTGGGAGGTTGTTCTTCACTTTGTAGATCACTTTAAAGGAGGCGTTCGTTGAGATGGAATGACCAGTGTTGACTAGATGTTCGATTATTGCACTCCTTATATGGCCATTATTTCCTTTCTGTAGCCACGCTGGGTAGTGTTCTTTGACCCTTTTTGACAGGATGCGCGTTGAACGACCGATGTACCTGGCTCCACAGCAACAGGTGAACTGATATATACACATAGAAGTGGTCATGTGCGGAATCTTGTCCTTTGGGTTTCTGCAGATCAGCGGGCGACTGGAGAACACTATTCTTAGTGTTGCCGCAGGGAAAGTTCTTCCTAAAGAGGTGGAAATTCTCCTTCTGAGGACGTCACTAAGTAGGTCTCCTTTGAAATCTAGGTTCATATAAAGTATCTTTTTTGGCACGGATGCTGTCTCTTGCTTTTGGTTTTTCTGTTTGATGTTTTTGTCTACAAATCTTGGTGGGTAGCCATTTTGTATGAAGATTTCCCTCAGGAAGTTTAGTTCTTCTTCCATGGTGTCGGAGCTGCAGATGCGTCTGACGCGAGTGGCAAGGGATTTAATTAAGTTTCTTTTACGACTGATTGGTACCCAGCTGTAGAAACTTGTTAATTGTCCGTTCCAAGTCGGTTTCCTATGGATTGACCTTCTTAAGGTTCCGTCATCTCTCCTTGTAAGCTCTACGTCAAGAAAAGGGATTTTTGATTCGTTTTCAGTTTCCAAAGTGAACTTTGTGGCTGGATGGCATTTGTTGAATATTTGTAGTAGTTGATTGAGATTGTGATCGTCATCACAGATGATAAAGATGTCGTCAACATATCTAACGTACAATTGGAAATTGTCGATGGTTGATTTGAGTGGGCCGTTCTCGAGGCTTGCCATGAAGCAGTCTGATAGTAATGGGCCCAGTGGAGATCCCATTGCGATCCCATCTTGTTGTCTGTAAATAATGTCGTTGAATGTGAATTGGACATTGAGTGTACATCTCAGTAGTAGTTCTTTTAAACAGGTCGTCGGTAATCCGATGTCCAGCTGATTTTCGTCGATATAGTGACAAATATAAGAGACAATTTCCGTGAGTGGAACGTTGGTAAATAGTGATTCAACGTCGAGGGAGAGCATAGTTTTGTTCTTTGTATTGATATCTTTAATGTAATCGACGAATTGGAAAGTGTCACGAAGTGAATAGTGGCACATTCGTTTTCGTACAGGTTCTAAAATGTCAGTGAGCCATTTCGCTATTGAATGGTACGGGGAACCTGACATATCCAGAATTGGACGAAGTGGGAGGTTGGCTTTATGTATCTTCGGTAAGCCATATAGTCTTGGTATTGTTGACCCTGTCGGTCGGATCTGATCATACACTTCATGAGTAATTAACTTTTGGGTTTGCATTCTTTTCAGGACATCGGTGAGTTGCTTTTCAATCAGTTCTGTTTTGTTTCTTTCGTTGGGTGGTTGCGAAAATTTTGTTTTATCTGACAAGATGTTGTTCATTTTCTCAATATAGTCTTTTTTGTCCATAAGGACTATACCACTTCCTTTGTCTGGACGAGTTATAAGGAGTTCTTCATTTTGTTTTAGTTGATTTAATTCTTCTCTATGTTGCTTTGTCAGGTGGTTGTACACTTTTGGCTTTGTATTAAGATACTGATAACAGCTATCGATTATTGTTGATTTGAAACGTTGCAGTTCTTGTTCGGAGGTTGGGATTAAATCATTTGTTTGG